AGGGCGGCAGCCATGCGGGCGCCGAGCTGGGGTGAGGCCTGGCGGGCCTGAGCCCTTTCCTGGCCCAAGGAAAGCTGGGGGTGGGGGGCTGCTCTGTGCCGTGTACGGAGGCTGCCAGGGTCTGGGGCAAAGGGAGGCTGAGGGTGCACAATGGGGCCTCACAGCCAGCAAAGGCCCCGCGGCCGGAACAGCATCTGGTGCTACGAGGCGGCTGTTTGGCTCCGAACAGCCTGACATCTTCAAATGTTTGGGGCAAAATCAAATTTCATGAAATTCAAATCTCATTCTCCCTAAATAAATGTTAAATTAAGGGCGCGACAGGCTCCTCAGGACCATGGGGGTTACTGGCACCCCAAGGGTGGGCCCCAGGGACATAGGCCTCCTGGCCCCCAGGCCTCTGGGCTCCTAATGGAAGTGCTGGCTGGCCCAGCTGGGGCCCGGGGGGGCCGGGCCTGGGGGAGAAGGAAGCCTGGGGGGCAGTGAGGAGGAGTGCGCGGCCAGAACCAGGCCCACCACCCGGGCCCACCTACGCTTTATGGTGAAAAGAACCATTTGCTTCCCCAAAGATCTGATCTCGGCACCTCTGGGGGTGACCCTCCCAGACCAGACAAAAGGCACGCTACAGGGACGGCACGCACGTGTCCCTGAGCCGCCCGGGCCCACGGCGTCTGTGTGGCAGCACTGGCCCGGGCGAGGCGTCCTGTGTGCGGAGACCGCACCGCCCCGGCCGAGTCCCAGAGGGCCTGGCACGGGGGCACCTGCACCCAGACTCTGGCTTCCCAGCACCCCGCTCCACCAGGGCACGGCTTCCCCTTGGAGAAACGGCCGAGGCCGAGCTGGGACGAGGACAGAGGCGCGGCCGGCCTGGGACACGGGGCCAGAAAGGAAGGACATCCTCGCAGGACGCGGCACGAGGCCAGCACAAGCTCGAGTGGGCACCCGCCAGGCCTGGGCGCCGAGGGGAGCGAGGACGCGACCGCCAGCACCAGGAGCGAAGCGGGAGCCGGGCCCCTACAACCCGCCCGGGACCCGCTTCTAACGGCGAGCGTCGGAAGCATCACCTGCACCTCGCCTGCCAGGCCTCACAGGACCCCAGAGGCATGGGCGCCTGCAGGCACAGGAGCCACAGCCTTCCAGTGTCAAGGTCAAAATCATAAAACCCTGAAGAGAAGGGGCAGCGCCAGGCACGCGCAGGCACACAGCCAGGGGCGGGCCGAGCGGGGTGCTTCAGGGGCGCGCGGGAAGGCCAGGGGAGGGGCGCCCACACTCGGTGATGCTGCAGAGCCGGGCCCTTCGCAGCTCCTCAGAGGCCTGAGGGGCTCAACATTTAAAAAGGAAACGCACCAAGAAAAGAAAACATGGAATCTGCCCTCCTGTCTCTGTGCCCCGGCAGCCTGGGGTCTTACCCCCCAGCCCCCACCCTGGGGCCTCCTGGGGACCCCCCACAGGCGGCTTCTCCAGACCCGGCCTTGTCACCCACGCATGCGGCCCGGGCCTCTCGTCCCCCTGATCTTTGGGTCTTGCCCTTGCTGGCGCCCTGGGCAACAGAGCCGGGCAGGCCCGCCAAGCCCCAGCAAGCACGGAGGCCGCCTGGCAGTGTGGGCTCCCCAACTGTGGAATGGGGTGGGGGAAGGGGGAAGGCTCTGCAGGACCCCACGATGAAGGACTTGAGGTTCTGCCGTCTGGGAGCCGGGGGGACATACAATCACATGGGAACGTGCAGCCCGTCTCACTCAAAATACATCCAGGCCCCAGGTGTGGGGTGGCAACTGAAGAGCCCCCAAGTTCCCGAAGTGAGGCGCCTGTTTAAAAAGTGTGAAAGTGGGGGCCTCCCTGGTGGTGCAGGGGTTAAGACACAATCTATGAAGCAATTGCAGCCACTGCAGCACAAGTTCAATCCCCAACCAGGGGGATACCCACAGGGCGCAGCAGACCTCTCCTGTCTCCCCGCTGCTCCCCTCAACAGTGTATTTCAATCTGCCTGTTCCGCTCCCCACTCTGTCTCTAGGGAGTCCTCTCACCATCCACACCTCTGGCCTGTACCCCAGTTCTTGTGTGTATAAATAAATAAACCTTTTTTTAAAAAGTGTGGAAGTGCAGGGACCTGCCCCTACACCCCAGCAGCCCTGGACACTGGGGCCAAGGGCCAGGCTCTCAGCACCAGGGGATGGGGCCTAAATCAGAGCAGGCTTCCTGGAGGAGGGCTCAAGACTACAGCCAGGCTGAAAGCGGGGAGATCACCCAGCCTGGGCCCGGGCAGGCACGAGGCCAGGACCGGGTGGGGAGAGGGGCGTGTGGGCGGGGGGCCCTGGCAGGCCTGTTCCCAGTCCTCTCTGCAGATCCCGAGGATGGACCAGTCTGTTCCCCGTAGCAGGAGGCCTGCCAGGAGGCGTGGGGGGTGCCCCAGAGCTTCAAGCCAAAGGCGAGGTGTCTGTGGACACCAGCGACCTTGGGACCCCACAACTGAAGCTGCTCCAGACAGGCGCAGCTCCCGGGGACCAGCAGACTGTGGCCTTGCCTGATTAGCTTAATTAAATCCGAGGCGGCCTCCGGGCATTTGGGATAAAAAAAAATCGGAATAATAAGGCACATCCCGCCAGCTCCCGCGCGCCCCAGGAGCAGCCAGGATCTCCCTGAGGCCACCCCAGCACCAGGCTCTGCACACAGCAGGTGCTCGGGAGATGCTCGAGCCACATGCTCTGAGGGTTGAGGACCCAGCTGAGGTTGGGGAGAAGCCTGTGACAACAGGAGGTCCCCGAGAGCAGCCAGCGCGGCATGCTGCAGGCCCCCGGAGCTGGCCAGCCCGGACACACGGAGACACGGAGACGCACCCGCAAGTGGAGGGGGCACGCACCCCCCATCTGTCCCGCCCAGCACCCAGCCAGGCGGCAGCCAGGCCCATCTACCAGAAAGTCAGCTTAGGGCGACGCCGTCCAAAGGGTGCCCGGCCCAGCATCCTGGAAGGGAGACCGGGGCTCCAACCCCTCTGGCCACACACCGGGCGTGTGGCAGGGGCAAGTCCCTCGCCCTCCCTGAGATTTACCGGCCTCACCATACCTAGGGGTGGCAGGACCAGTAAAAAAAGAGCCGTGGCCATCGCCTCGGGACCCGACACCGCGGGGATGAAAGCTTCCCGCAGGGCGAGGAGCAGCACAGAAGCCGCCAAGGCCTCCCCACCCCCAACAGCCAGACGATGCCCTGACCATCAGCCCGGCCCGCAGAGCGCCCCCCGGGCCAGCGACGCGTCCAGAGATGGGTTTGACTGGCCCCACCCTCCCAGATCAAGGAGCTGAGGTGGGAGCCCAGCCCTCACCACGCGGGGCCGCACTGCCAGGAGCACCTTCGGGCGACCCGAGAGCACCCAAAGTCCCCAGTGGCACGAAGGGGCAGCTCTGCCTCTGCTCACTGAATCCTCACAACACAGGTAGGGAGCTGAGGCCTCAGAGGCGCCCGCCGCCGGGGTGGTGGCAGCACCAGGCTTCAGTTGGAAACGTGCCGTCCTTTCTCCTTACCACCCGGGCCTGACACCCCATCACCAGGGCTGAGCTGGGGGGCCCACGGGGGCTGTGCGGGTGTCATGTTGCTGTCCCCAGCACCCCGATGGCTTCAGGGACCCCAGGAAGTCTCTCTGCACGTCCAAAGTGGGGGCTGAGACCAGCCACCTACCACGCTAACGCGCCTCCTCCCCACCCTGCCCAAGCCGCAGCTGGGTGGGGCAGCCCAGGCCCCAGCCCACTCGCCAGGCCCCGGCCGGCCTCCCTGCCAACCAGCCAGGAGCCCTGCGGGGGCCAGTAAGCCCAGCACCGGCTCAAGGCCCAGCTCTGCCCACAGCCACCCTGCGTGCCTCAGTTTCTCCAGCCATAAAGCGGTGCAAGCACTTCCCAGCACCCCTGCACGGGGAGGGGCACGTGAGGACAGAGGCAGGATGATGGAGCCTGGAGTCTCCCCAGCAGGCCCCAGAGCATGCCTCGCCGGCCCTGCCGGCCCCTCTGAGCTGGACCCCTCGCCCTGGGCTGTTATTACTGAGTGGGAGGACAGTCCCCCGCCCCTCAGGGACAACCTCTGCCAGCCGCCACCCCATCCTCGCTGGAGGGGGTGACCCATCTCCTTGGAAACGGGTCACAGGCCAGGGTAGGGGCCACCAGCAGTGACTCATGCTGCCCGCTGCTTCCAGCGTCACACGAGCGAGCGGCCCCTGTGCACGAGGAGGGCGGGCTGGCAGGACGGCCACTCCCGGACAGCACTGGCCACCCGAGTGGGCTCCTGGTCCCTGGCCCGGGGCCCTTCCCCGGGACCTGGGGTGAGTGCGTGGCGGCCCGGAGGGCAGGACGGGCCGGGTTTCTGCTCAAGTCTCAGCCAAGTTCCCTTTAAGGGCCGAGGACAGCAGCGCGGGCGAGCAGCGGACATTTTCCTGCCGCCGGCCACGACCCGCGCGCCCGCCACAAAGGCCGGCTGGAGTGTGTCGGGGGAGCCACGGGGGTCTCCCCACTTGCACCGAGTTGCCCGTCCCGGGGGCCTCCTGCCTCCGCGGGCTGCGCTCCCGACCGCTGCCCCGCGGGGAGGGCTCCGGGCTCCCGCGCGCCCCTCCGCCCCGCCGCGCCGCGCCCGCGGGCCCTCCACGCGCCCGGCCCCGGCCCCCGCCCCGGCCAGGCCCGGCCCCCGCCCGGCCAGGCCCGGCCCCGCCCCGGCCCGGCGGAGGACGCGCGGGGCTCCCCGAGGGCAGGGCAGCCGCTCGCGGGGCCTCGGCTGCCAGGTCCGGCGAGAGGGCGGCGGGGCCGGCCGCCGGCCCGGTTCGGGTCCCTCCCCACCCGCGAGGCGCGCAGGGGGCCGGGGCGCGCCCGGGCGTGGGGACTTGGTGAACTTCGCGCCTCGGGGCCGCCCCCGAGGAGCCGGCTCCGGGCCTCGGGGCGCGCCCCCCGCCCGCGCCCCCCGCCCGCGCCCCGCGCCCCCCGCCCGCGCCCCCGCCCCCCGCGCCCGCGCCCCGCGCCCCGCGGCCGCACCTGGGACATCTGCGGGCGGAAGTTGATGTCCTTGAGGTCGACGGAGCCCGGGGCGAGGTTGTGCAGCAGCTGGCACAGGAGGACGCCGTCGCGCAGCGCCTGCGCCAGGTCGAAGGCCGCGGCCGAGGGCCACACGACGCGGTGGCCGGGCGGCAGGACCTTGCAGTCGATGAGCCAGCGGCCGCACTGCCGCCACTGCTCCATGGCGCCTAGCGCCGCGCGCGGGCCGGACTGCGGCGGCCGCGGGGCATCCCGCCCGCCCGCGCGGGGCTCGGCGGCGGGGCGGGGCGGGGCCTCGCGGGCGGCGGGTCCTGCGCGGCCCCGGCGCGCTCGGGCTCCGCGGGCCGCCCCGCCACGTGCGGCCGCGCCGGCCCCTCACGCGCGCGGGCGCCCCCGGGCCCCGGGCCGGGCTCCGCGCCGCCAGCCGCCGCCGCGCCCCGCGCCCCGCCCCGCCGGGCGCCGCATTCTGCGCTCGGGGCGCCGCGGCCGCGCCCCGGCCCCGCCCGAGACAAAGGCCCGGAGGGTCGCTCGCTCCGCGCGCCCGGCCCGCGCCCTCGCGCCCCGCTTTGTTCCCCGCCCGCGGCTCCGCGCTCCCGGCCGGCGGCTCTCCTCCCCTCGGCGGCTCCGGGCGCGGGGGCGCGGGGGCGCGGCCGGGGCGGGGCGCGCCGGGGCGGGGCGGGGGCTCGCCAGGCGCCGCCCCGCGCCCCAAGCGCCGCCCCGGCCCCCCCACTTCCTGCCTCGCGGCGCCCGCGAAACTTGCGGAGGCTGCGGCGCGGCCCCCGGGGGGCGGGGGGCGTCCACGCTCTCCCAGGGGCCCCGGACGGGGGGGCTCCGCGCTGCTCCGCCCGCGGGGACAGGGGGCGGCTTCTGCCGCGCGGGGCGACTCCGCGCGGCTCCGGGGAGAGACAGACCCAGGAGCGGGGCGCACCGGGCGCGAGATCACGAGCGCCCCAGGGGCACAGCTGGAGGCTGAGGGCCCAGACACCGGATGCCCCGTGGCCCCCCCGCCCCCCGCCCGGCTGTGGACCTGCAGGGAGCACCCAGCTACCCGTGCGCTCTGCAGAGCCAGGGTCCCCGCCCTTCTGCCCCGGAGGCCTGGCCCCCCGCAGCCCGTCCCGGGGGCCAGTGGAGAAGGACCACGCTCAGCGCGTGGGAAAGAGGGAAGGTGTGACCAGACCCGCGGCTGCAGCGGCTGAGGGCCCGCTGACCCGCCCCACCGCCCCCTGGGCCAGGGAGCCGGACTGTTCTTTGCAGCTGGCTCCTGAGCCTCAGGGGGTGTCCAGCACCCGCGCTGACCTGGCCGTGGATGCACACGCTCCCGGCTCAGCTTGGAGAGCCCGGCTCCCACCCACGTGCTGGGCAGCCTGCGTGCATCTCAGTCCCTCTGCAAGACCCGCTCCACCCCGGGCAGCGTCCCCTACCCTGAGGAACAGCCTGGACACTGGACCAGCGTTAGCTGGGGAGACGCTGGGCCACTGCCCCTGGGCTGGTCCCCTCCTCCTTTGGAGTCCTCTGGGGTGGGGCCAGAGGTTCCTGTGTCACCCCCACCCCCTTGCCAACCAGAGAGGGTCCCCTGGGCCCCTGTTCTGGGAACTGACGTCTGGAGAGTCAGACTTGCCCCTTCGCAAGCGGAGGAGGAAGCAGCGGGGACAGGCCGGGAGCTGCCCCTGGAGAGGGGGGGAGGAGCTGGGCTCCCAGTGCTGGCTCCAGACCCAGGGGTGGGGCAGGCTCCTTCCTCCAGGAAAACAGGGATGGGAGGGGGGCAGGGGGACACCTCGTCCCTCCTCCTCAGCGCACAGACACAGGAGGGGACCCTCGTTGGGGTGGGATGGAGCACACCCTGCCTGGGGCAAAGGGACATCCTTGTTGCGGGCAGCACCACACCCCCTGAGTCACAGGAGCCGGCTGTGGTGGAGCAGGCCGCACAGGGCGGGATGCTGCTGAGAGCAAGTTCCTGGCCATTTTCGTTGATAGAATAATCATAGCGCATCAGCTCCACGCGCTAGGGGGCCAAGGAGAAGGGGATGGTGACCTCAGGAATGTCATCTAGGGCTTGGGGGACACGCGTCTGCTGACCATGTTATCAGCTGGATGACCAAGTGTCGTCATCCAAACTCGACCCCGGACCCCCAGCCACGGTCCTAATCTTATCAACAAGGCGTCCACTGGTCACCTCTGGGGTCCCCTGTCATACATCGGTCCTCGGCCCCCCAGGGTGTTCCCAGTCATACCTCATGATGTATGAGTCGGAAGTAAGTTTATGCACCCGTCCTCAGCCCCCCGGGCGCCCCGGTCGTACCTCTTGATGCACACCCTTCCCAGAGTGATCACGCTTTCAGCTCTTGATTGACAGGAGAGGCGCCTTGTAAGGTTTGGCTCCTGTGACTGTGACTGGACACTTCTGACCTTTGCATGGGAACGCAGAACTGCAGGGAACCATATTGGTGGCTGAACAGGCCACTTAAGTCTAGCAGACCCGCACACCCTGCAGGGCACAGGCAGTCTCCTCCCCTTGGCACTGAGAAACCACGGGGCAGCGGGACACAGCCTGCACCCCAGCCCACTCTGCCAGCCTGCGTGGCCTCTCCCTGGCAGAGCCCCTGGGGCCTGGGGCCGAGCAGCCTGTGGGAATTGCTGGGAGGCACCATGGGATTGACCATTCGGAGGTTTTGCACAGCGCCTGGGCAGAGCGGGGCTCCTGCACCCCTCTGGGCACTCTGCTACGGTGTCCCGTTATCGCCTGTGTCTCAGGGCACAGATAGCTCCTCAGCGAGAAAAGGGCCTCTGCCCCCTACTGCCTTTGACCATCCCGCCTCCCTGCCAATCGCCCAAGACCAGGAGCCCAGGGCAGGGACTCGGCAGCAGGCGCTCGGCTGCTGCCCCCTGGCGGGTGAGAGGCACTGACGCCCGGGCAGCCCTGGGGCTGCTGCACCGGTGACCCGGCAAGTCAGGAGCCCCAGGTTCGGCCACTGTGTGTCCTGAACCAAACACCGCCTGGCTCCCAGCCTCCTGATCGGGACTCGATCCCGTGCTGTGCCCCTCCCGGGGCCCGCCTCGCTGGGAGGGAAGGAGGGAGGATCCACCCAAAACTTCCAAAAAGTCCTGCCACCACCCATGTCCCCTCGGACTCAGCCCGTCCTCCGGGACCGCGCACTGCACACCTCCGGGGCGCGGGTCCCCTCTCATTCTAGGTAGATGGCCCCTGGGGGGGCTACAGATGACAGTGAGGGCACCCTCCAGAGGGGCGACCTCTGGCACAAGCAGTCGTGGAGGCTTCTTCCTCGAGAGAGGCCCTGAGCCCAGTGCAGGGATGGGCGAAGGGGCACGGTGGGCCTCCCAGTCACTGGGATGGAGGAAACCCAGGGTGGGGGTGCCAATGCCAGCCACACGCCCCGCAGTATGGACGGGGGTCCTAGGTCCCCTCTCCTCCGTCCCTCAACAACCCCCACCTTCCCCGCCCTGGTTCCCTCAGCTCTGTCCTCAGCAGCCCCTCAAACCGTGGACAGACCCTGGCCCCCTCCTGGTTCAGAAAACAGTTGCTGAAAGAAACTTGGTAAAGGGCCTCCCTGGGGGCGCACGGGGTTGAGACGCAGCGCTGTGAGGCTGTCGGCAGCTGCTGCAGCACGAGTTCGATCCCCAGCCAGGGAGCTGCCCACAGGGCGCAGCAGACTCTCCTGTCTCCCCACTGCTCCCCTCGGCAGTGGATCTCAGTAGAGCCGCCTGTTCTGCTCCCCACTGTCTCCGGTGAGTCCTCTCACCCCCCAACCCTTCACCTCTGGCCCACACCCAGCTTTTGTATGCATAAATAAATAAATCTTTAAAAAAAAAAAGAAAGGAAAAGAAGCGTGGTAAAGCATCCCGATGTGATTTGAAAATCCAGCCTGTTCTTGCACAGAGGCCACAGAAATGCGCTAAACCCGCGAAAGGGCCAAAGGCTGGCCTGCACCGATGTTGGCTGGTGACCCTCAGGGGCGTGTGGCGCTTCCGGCTCTCGCTCCAGGGACCCAGGGCCACACGGCTTGGGCTCCGGAGTGAGGGCGGCCGTCCCCGGGGCTCGGTGTGCATCACCTTCCTGACTTCAGCCTCCCCATCATGGCAACTGTAACTGCATTAATCCCCCAGGGGGATTAATGTAGAAACTGGCACATGCACACACATGTGGGGAGCTACTTGGTGTCACCCCACAGCACACGCAGCCAGGCCCACGCCTGGCTTCCTGCACCCACTAGTGCACCCAGTGCTGCTGGCGGAAGTGGGGCGGGGAGCACTGTGGCATCTGCGGTCTTTACCAGCTCAGCAGAGTGTGGTTGGCTCACACCCGCACCTGCATCACACCCCACTGCAGAAATGGGGGTGCATGGCCAGGAGTTGGTTGAGAGTGGCTGCTGCTTGGGAAACAGCTGTGCCTGAGCTGGACGAATGGCCCCGCCTCGTGGTCCTGAGGCCTCCGGCTGCTGGTGCTGGGGCCCAGAAAGGAGCCCTTTGCGGCAAGGCCCCTGATGGTAGCCGGGTGGGTCTTGGGGAGCGACTTCCTGCTGGGGAGCCCCATCTGCCCCAGGCCCTGGACAGGAATGTGTGTGGCCTTCTACGTGTGGCTACGACGCATGCCCAGGGGAGGCCATGAGCCGTCCCTATGTGCGTGAGTGCCCAGGACTGTTCTTGTCTCCCAGACCGCCTCGGGAGCCATGCCCACCAGGCCAGGGCACTCCTGTCCCACCAGGCCCAGGGCTCCCACAAAGCCCCAGTGCCTCTTGGGGCCACGCCCGCCGGCCCTCATTCCCAGCCACAGCCCCAGGACACGCTGACGGCTTCTGGAAAGGCCCCGCAGAAGTCAGGGGCCATTCCTGCCCTCTCCAGTCGGTCCCCCACTCCTGCACCCACCCCATCACCACCCCTGCGCTTCCATCGATTTCTTCCATCCTCCCATGGGTCAGCTCATCCATCTCTCCCCATCCACCCCAGCACCCCCAGCACCCCATGTCCTCTGCCAGGAAGTAGACAGAGCCAGGCCTTGCTCAGGGGCAGGGAGTGAGTGAGCGTCCAGCTCTCCCTGCAGCAGCGGGTAGAGAGCTCCTTCCCCACCCGCCCCATGAACGCACATTGTGTGAATTCCTTTTGTAGCTTCATCATGCGAATTCAGCTGTCAGCATTTCCTGGGGAGCTGGAGGTGTAGAGAGAGACCATCTGGCCCACATGGAGTCAGA